TATTAAATTTACTTTATAGTCCAAATAAATCATAATTTAGTACCACCAAAATGATTTAGATGTATAATCAATCTAAATAAAATACATTTCAATTTTATGGCTATCCCAGGTTACACGATATAGAATATACGGTAGATAACATGGTACACAAGCCTTCTGAGGAACCTGGAAGAGCTGGCCAAGCTTGGCCTCCCAAATAGGATAGTGGCCATGAGTGTGTTCATCTTAGTAATGTCTGCACCAGAGCTATATCAGTGCTTTAATAATTTAAAAGCCTTTAAAATAAAATTACAATGTGAAAGAATTCTTTTTCCTTTTTATACTCAATCAAATGCATCACACCAACATTTTAACAAGTTTCCATGAAATCTGAGCAAATCCATTTACCAGACTTTGTTTCTAGCTCCTGTTTAAATCTGATTTGATAATTATCTTGAATTCAATTTTTCATCCCCAAGATAAATATGATCTTGTTGTGTCAATCCACAAAAAAAAAAGACTCCTATAGAGAGTTTTGCTTGATTTCATTCACTCTCATATATTTAGGTCCAAGAGAAAGTTTATTTTGTTTAAAGTTCTATTGAAATTCTTTACAACACTGTTAATGGCATAGTTCCAATGCCACACCCATTACCTGTTCTACCTCCCTCCCCACAAAGGACCACAATGCCCCTCCTTTTCAACCCCTCCCCAAAACTCAATTGTGAGGGTCAGTTTTTTCATTGTGTTGCCTTTAGCACTTTATTGCCACTTTGCTATGGAGAAAGACAATGCTTTAAAAAATCATGAAGGTGCTGGGCAAGGTCCTATGGACTGTGCTCATAGTGTTGAAATCTTAATCCCCAGTAGCTCAGGTTGTAACTATCTTTGGCGACAGACACATCTTTAAAGAGGTAACCAACATAAACAGAAGATCAGAGTCACCACTAGTTCAGTATGACCTGGTTGTTATTCTAAGAAATTATGACACAGATAGACACAGAGAAATGGTCATGTGATGACACAGGCAGATGGCAGCCATCACAAGCCAGGACACCTCAAAAGAAACAAACCCTGCTGAACCATTTTGATCTTGACCTTCTATCCTTCAGAATGAGAGAAGTTTCTGTTACTGAAGTTTGGAGAGACAGTACATGGGTTAAGGTACATGCCTTGCACAGTGGCTGACCTAGTTCAATTCGCAGCACCTCATACGGTTCTCTGAACCCTACCAGGAGTGATCCTGGAACACAAAGCCAGGAGTAAGCCCTGAGCACCATTTACAAACAAAAAATTAAAAATAGATATCTTTTGTTTAAACTCTCTAAACTGCAATACTTTATTACAGCAGCTTTAGCAAGTTAATATAAATGAGATTCACTGTAGCACCGTCCTCCCGTTGTTCATCGATTTGCTCGAGCGGGCCCAATAACGTCTCCATCGTGAGACTTGTTGTTACTATGTTTGGCATATCGAATATGTCACAGGTAGCTTGCCAGGCTTTGCCGTGGCTTTACCATGCAGGCCAGATACTCTCAGTAGCTTGCCGAGCTCTCCGAGAGGGACGGAGGAATTGAACCCCTCTCGGCCAGGCCAGCTGTGTGCAAGGCAAATGCCCTACCACTGTGCTATCGCTCCAGCCCAATTTTTTAATTTTTAAAGGTAGCAGACAGAAGAAACACAAAAATATTAAACACTACAATGTTATAATTTTCTGATTCAGAATGCATAGTGAAAAGTATAAGAATATTCTGAATCTTTAAGAAAGGAGAACTAACTAAGTCTATGTAAAAGAAATACTCAGTGGAGCAGAGCACAAAGACACAACCCATGGAACGAGCAGAAAATAACTTGCAACTGACTTCATTGATTGCGCAGGAATTGGACAGGGTTTTTGCACTCTCAAGAGGAAAAACAAGCCAAGGAGAACCTTGATTTTTTTTTAAAAAAACTAGAAATAAAAGCAGGGGGTACATGAACTCAAAGTGGATGTCTTAAAGGGAGAAACATCCTCTGGCCCTAAGGTTTGAATTAAATTTAGATTTATCATTTCCCTGATTTTGTAAGTTGGGTTTTACCAAACCATCAATAAAGAAAATGCAAACCTCAAGCTAAAAAATCAGCAAGACAGTGCTGTAAAGTCAATACTCTGGGTATTGTATATACCAATCTCACGGTCAGGTACACTCAGTTGATTAAGCACAGAAAAGGTTTCTGAAAAGGAACATTGCTATAGAGATGGCAGGCAACATTTTGCTGGATCCACTGTCCATGCTCAGATTTGCATTTTATCATATCACTGACAGAAACGGAAATAGCAAACTGCCTGTTTTATTTCCTCTATGCTTTCACAAAGGACAAAGATACATCCTACATTTAAAAAAGCATCAGGCAAAATAGAGAAGTCAAATAAACAGGGGTGACAATAAAAGGAGCCTGAGAATGGTAAACATAAGAAATTTCTTCCAACCAGAAACCTGAATGCCCAAGAACAGATGACTGGTTAAAGAAACTTTGGTACATCTACACAATGGAGTACTATGTAGCTGTTAGAAAAGATGAAGTCATGGTGGTACAACATGGAAAGTATCATGCTAAGCGAAATGAGTCAGAAAGAGAGGGATAGACATAGAAAGATTGCATTCATCTGGGGAATATAAAGAAACAAAATATGAGATTAATACCCAAGAATAGCTGAGATCAGCACCAGGAGGATTACTCCATAGCTTAGAGGCCAGCCGGGCATTCTAGGGGAAAGGGCAGCTCAGATAGAGAAGGGAGCACCAAATAAAGGGTGTTTGGAGGATCCTCCCAGGAGGGGAGATGCATGTCGAAAGTAGACTATGGACTGAACATGTTTGCCACTCACTGCCTCTTTTTCAGACCACAACACCCAAAAGGAGAGAGAGAACAAAAGGGAATGCCCTGTCACGGAGGCAGGGTGGGATGGTGGGGATGGGGGTGGGAGGGATATTACCCATGGTGGTGGAAATGGGCACTGGTGGAGGGATGGGTATTTGATCATTGTATAATCAAAACCCAAGCACAAAAAATTGTAAATCTACAACTGTACCTCATGGTGTTTCACTAATAATAAAAAAAAATGGGCAAAAAAAAAAAAAGAAATTTCTTCCAACCAACCGGAAAATGGTTTTGTTCTCCTATATCAATACCTAGAAGAATTCTGATATCCTTTCTGCAATAAGCCAGTGATATAAACCAACAAACTGATTATGTGGTTTTAGCAGATTAGAGGTGTTTTCTTTTATTTTCTGGAAATCTTGTATAATTTTATATCACTTGTAAAAGCTAACTGATTTTGTCTTTTATTTATTAGAGTACAAAGAGATATGTGTATAGACAGATATTAGAAATATACATAGACAAACTCGAATTCTATTTATACACATATCTGTATATATTATATATAAATATACACATATCTTTAAAATATATATAAACACATATCTATACACATATCTATATAAGATATATATATAGATATGTGTATAGATATGTGTTTATATATATTTTAAAGATATGTGTATATCTTTATCTTCAAGATATTGACTGCCTCAATATCTTGAATTTGCTTTAATATATCCCATGCACTCCTCCACCTCCACCAAAAGAAAACAGAAAAAGGACTATCACAAAGTTTATAAAAATTTTGTTTTGTTATATAAAACTTAAGATATGTGTGGAATAAAAAGAGTATTATCAATTTCAGCATATGCATTGTTCCACACATATCTTAAGTTTTGTATAACAAAACAAAATTTTTCTCCTTTTAAGTTGGCCTATAATTGCAAAACTTAAATCTCTTCATCCTGTCCCTTGACTAGGAAACAGTTTAATTTGAATGAAAAGCGTATTACACTTATATATTTAAATAAACAGAGAAAATAGGCTTTAAGGAAAAATAAGGGAGAAATATATTTATAATATGATACAATGTTTACTTTAAAAATAAAGTTATAGTGTTTTAAGTATGAATCATACCAACTGTATGAAAAGTAACAGTACAAATATGTGCACAGAGCAAAGAAAAAGAATAAAAGAAAATAAAATTTAAGGCTGTTATCTGTCCTTACAAAAAATACAAGTTTTGTAAAATTAGTATACATCAAACTTATAATCAGAAGAAGAAAAAAATACATGGTATTATAATTCTAATAAGGTAAAATAGTCTGAACATTATAGAAGAAAATAAAGCACATATCTAAAATTCACTAAACACTGGCCTAAAGAAAGTCTCAGACAGGGTTTTATTTCACTCATATTACTCAGGCAGTAGTTTGGAAAAAACACACAATTGTATTGCTATAATTAGAAGTTGTTTGTGAGTGATCTTGTGTTTAGCCTGAGATTTCTGTCTTCAGGTATTAAAATTTTCTGGAACTTCGCTATATACCTCAGAAATTGACAGTTTTACTAGGAGAAAGTCTTTTCCAACTACATGCAAAGGTCTAGACACATCCTAGACACAAGATTTTACGTAATGCTTCTCAGTGCAAACCTTAAGGCAAATTTCATAAATATTTCCAGTAGCATGATTTAAAAAAAAATTAAGACTGGCAGGTATATTAATCCCATAAAACATAATTCCAAAAATTCCTACTGTTCACTAATCTTATATTTTTAAATTTTTATTTTTAGCATTTTAAATCTCTGGGGATCAAATATTTTATTAAAGGGCCACACCCAGCATGTTTCAGGGGCTACTCCAATCTCAGTGCTAGGCTATGCCTCCCACCAGAGCTCAGGAGTCCATGTGGTGTCAGACATCAAATCTGTGATGTGCTCAAACCCAGTGGGCTTGAGAAAATAGTTCCAGATCTCAGGAACTATTTTCCTTATAATAAAAAGTTCCCTTTTCTTTTCACAAGTCCAAGATACATTTTGAGATACAACAAAGTCCAAAACTGTATATTAGAATCATCGCTGAAAATTAAAATCACAATCCATATTTAAAAGATTTTAAAGCAATTCCCCCTAAAAGTGAGGCAAATATCACTTACTTTCACCTCCACAGTTTTCCCTCCATGTTCAATGTGTCTCTCTATGTATTCAGAGGACAGCAAGTCACTGCAACAGCAAGAGGAAATGATGGTTAAAGAGGATGCTGAAAATGTGTGGCAGTTGAAAAAAATCACAGTTATACATACCAACTGAATGATTCCTTTCCACAGATTTTAAAACAGTACTCTTTCTCCCTTCTCTCTGTCTTTCTGTCAGTCTTTGTCTCTATCTTTCTGTCTCTGTCTCTGTCTCTGTCTCTGTCTGTCTGTCTCTCTCTCTCTCTTACACACACACACACACACACACACACACACACACACACACACACACAGAGGCAAGTGGCTCAGTAGCACTAAAATAACATAATGCTGAACTGATTAAACCACGGAAGTCACTCCATTTCTTAGCAGACCTGATTCTGCTCATCTAATTTATCAGTTCTAGGAAACTACCATAAGTTCACCACTATTATAAAGTACCGTATCTTGCTTTCCTATTGGGAGGAAATAGATATGGCAGGGAGGTAGTTCCTAAGCAATGTTCAGGGGTCTGGGACCTGTTCTGGTGATACCAGACTAACTGGGTTGGACTTTCCAAAGCTTGGCTGGGTGCTGCAATGCTGCTCAGGGCCCCAGTGTTGGAAGTGACCACAACCCACAGAACTGGGACCACCAGTACAGCACCCTGCAGGCTCAGCAGGGTTATGAGGCACTGCGGAATAAAATCGAGTTCTCACTCAGGCAAAACATGTGCTCCAGTGTTCTAAAATATCTTTTTTTTTAACTTTAGAGTTTTTTTTTATCTTTCCTTTTAAACCTTAGCTTTTCAATTCGATGCCAGCATTTACCATTTCTTTATGGACTATGTGTGAGATTTTAGCTAGCAAAATATGTTTCCATCGAAAAAGTCAAAAGAGAAAAGAAAGCTCAAAGACATAAAAAGGAATACAGCAGAATGTGAAACAATTCCTCTGTGAAATCCGCCTAAACGACAACCTTCTTATAAACTTTTAAGATGTTTACACTATTTCACATATACTTCTGGTCACATTCTATTCAAGTGAAGAAATTTCCATTTTATTGGAGATGCCTTAGACATAAATTCCATAAAAAGTCTTAAGTCTCTGGAACCAGAGAGACAATCCCAGGTACCTGCCCTTGTCCTTCTGCAGTCATCCCTGTTTGCCTCCCACACCATGTCCCTGTGTTGCTGAGCATGACAGGTGGCCTCACAGCCAGACAAGCCCCAGGCTTCCTGAACACTGCTTGGAAGATCCCTCAAAGTCCTAAGCCTTTCCATTTTTTAAGCATTACAGTGTAAATAAATTCACATTAATCAATAGAAATAATACATGAGCAGTACATTTCTAAAGTCTTTATTAATAGACATTCAGCAATCTTAGAAATGTTTTTCACAATGGTTTAAAGATAACCAAGACAAAATCATCCCAATTATTTTTAGGTTTCTTTTTTAAATAATTGTGGTAGCCACAATATATTCATAAGATAATAATATTCAGATAATAAATCTATATAGACACTAGATATTCAGGATATTCTATATATATATGCAACTTACAACTTTTGCCATCTTAAATAAATCACTATTGGTGACACCCAGAGTTTCTCAGCTTTGAAACCATTTACATTTGGGTCAAATAACTCTGTCTTAGGAATATTTTATGGCTTTTAACCACTAGCTGCCTATCTCACCCCACAACCACACATCAATTACAGTGATGAAAAATATTTTCAGAATACTATCACCAATAAGAAAAAAAATGAAGTCATGCAATTTGCTACAATCCTAATGAAACTGAGTGGTTTCATGTGATTTGAAGTAAATCAGAAAAAGACAAATGCCTGGTGTTCTCACTGTCAGTTGTACATATATAGAGTAATAGAGGAGAGAATGAAATGTATCAAAGACAGCAAACCCTTATGAAAAGGATAACTCAAAGGAAGAAGGGCAGATTTTAGTAGGAATGAGGAGACAGACTGGTAGTAACATAAGGGCATTAGTCAAGAGTCTTGGCCATTTACATGGTTTAGAAGTGAGGTAACCACAGACATCAAACCACAGAAGTCAACACTATTGTAAGTTTCTGATCCAAACTATAATAAATATCTTTTTAAAAAGTTTCTTAAGGTGGTGCTGTGGAAGAGGGAGGAACCTTAGACCATTGGTGGAAGGATGCTGACACAGGTGGTACATTTGAATTGAATATTGAAAGCCACAAACTCTGCTATTAAAAGTTTTGTAAATCATGGTACTTCAGACAAAAGAAATCAAAAAAGTCTCCAGCTACAGGTAGACAGTTCAAAGGGCTGGACCATGCTTTGCATGCTGGAGCCACAGCACATAATCCCCTGAGCACTGCAGGGAGCGGCACAACTGGGTGTGGCCCTGGAACAAAACAACAAAAAAGACCCACCTGAGCCAGAGGGCTAGTCTTGGATGCAGCTGACCTGGGTGAACCTTTATGGTCCACCAGCACTGATACCCTGAGCACAGAGCCAGGGGTAAACCATGAGAACTGCTGGATATGGCTAAAAAACAAAAACAAAAGACCCCTACAAAAAAAAAACCCAAAACAATACAAAACATATGTCACCAATTAAAAGCTGTACAACTCTCCTAGTGACAAACTACTACAGATTCCCATTCCTGCCCCATATTTTTTTGTGCTCAAAATACTGCAAAAATATCAGGTTTTTTTTTCTTAAATTTTTATTAGTGAAACACCATGAGGTACAGTTGTAGACTTACGAATTTTTGTGCTTGGGTTTCAGTTATACAATGATCGAATACCCATCCCTCCACCAGTGCCCATTCTCCACCACCACCAGTCCCAGTATCCCTCCCACCCCCCATCCCCCCATCTCACCCTACCTCTGTGGCAGGGCATTCCCTTTTGTTATCTCTCTCCTTTTGAGTGCTGTGGTTTGCAAGAGACATTGAGTGGCAATCTTGTTCGGTCTATAGTCTACTCTCATCACGTATTTCCCATCCTGAGAGGAACCTCCCAACACCCTTTATTTGGTGCTCCCTTCTCTATCTAAGCTTTCTCAAAAAATCAGTTTTATGAAGCTAAATGACAGTTACAGTTCATGATTAGGCTACTTGTTTCCCTCATCTGTATCTGGATATCCTTAGCTTAGGTTACTTTCCATCCAGGAAACATGCCCAAATCACAACACTAGTCCTTGTACCCACACCATCAGTATGCAAGATCAATATGACAAAGAGAGAGAAAGGACACATTAACAAATATAGCCCAGGATTAGGTGGTACAATCCTTCCACCCAACTGAACTCAATTCTAAGTGCACCAATTTATTTCCTCTTGTTTCTCAATGAGTACTTTAAAGTAATTTAGCAAACCATGTGCTTGGGGATTTAAGTTCAAGGGGTAGCAGGGGAACACTCTTTCTAGTCTCCTACATCTGGAATAGCTTAAAGAGTATTCTGCAGGCCACCATGATGTCAGAGTAATTTGTCACCTGACTCAGGGCAAGCCCCAAAGTGGTTCATGACCTAACTCGTGTCATTAATGAGACCAAGAATATGGTCATCTCTCTGCTCTGCCATCAGTGTGACAGATGGCCTTTTCATGCAATTGATTCTGTTATGCCCCCAACATTGCTGCATCAATTCTAAGCATCTCGTGCAGACAAAAACAGCCCAAGGTTAAAAGCGGCAAGGGGGGGGGGCGGGGGAATCTCTTAAAAAGTCAGTAAACTCTAGTACCACAAGTTAAGGAGCATGCTTTATACATGGCTGATCCTAGTCCAATCACTGGCACCTTATATAGTCTCCAGAGCAGTGCCAGGACTGAACCCAGGGCTCAAAGCCAGGAATAAACTTGGAGCACAGCCAGGTGTGCACCCTCCTCCAGCCTCCTGCAGCCCCCGCCCCCCAGCCCCCCCTCCCCCCCCCAAAAAAACTCAGTAGACTCTTCATTAAAAACCCCTTCCATTCATCTTCCCAATGATGGCTTGAGTGAATTTCGTGACCTGGCCATACCAGTGCTAATCCTTTGACAAGGTCATTTGTCTTTGAGCAAGATTTTCCTGATCTAGTATACCGGGGATATTGGTGGTGGGGAATGTGCACTGGTGGAGGGATAGGTGTTTTATCATTGTGTGATTGTAACACAAACATGAAAGCTTATAACTATCTCACGGTGATTCAATAAAATTTAAAAAATGGTTTTGGGGGCTGGAGAGATAGCACAGTGGGTAGGGCATTTGCTTTACATGCGGCCGACCTGGGTTTTATTCCCAGCATCCCATATGGTCCCCTAAGCACTGCCAGGAGTAACTCCTGAGTGCAGAGCCAGGAGTAGTCCCTGTGCACCGCCAGGTGTGACCCAAAAAGCAAAAAAAAAAAAAAAAAAAAAAAAAGATTTTCCTGCTCTGGAACCTACCATGAATATCATGGTGATTCAGAGAGAAGAAAATATTACAGGGAAGGAAATAGATGGAGAAAATCATTACTGTACAGCTAACAGTCTCTTTCCCCCACCTCCTACCCCTTCATCACAAAATTGCCAGAAAATTGACAAATTTCCAAAGGCGTCTAACAAAAAGTGAAGCTCAAGGTAAAAGATCTGCCTCAAGCAGATACAAGCCAGATGTTTTCAAAAGACTGTCTTCCAACCTTGATCTCAAACAAATTCCCCAGGAGTGGGAGGGGAAAATTAGCATCCTGAAGCAATGATATAGAAGAGTCTGCCAGGTTCCCTCTCCTGGGAATCTGAACTAGCAGACCCTGAAGAATAAAATCATTCAGTTGATGAAGGAAAGAGATGCAGGAAGTTAAAAAATAAGCAGACACATGCGAGGAATTGAGCTGCGCCAGTGGTGAAGACCAGCGTAAAATTTCACCCCAAATCTCCACTGCTTAGGTCTGCAGAGCCAGAAGAACTCATCTCAAATGTAGGTTCTATGGGTTCTCTTCTCTACTTCTTACACGAGCAAAGCTATGCTACAGAAGTGAAATCAAAGGCCACTATGTAAGCTGTTTCCTAGAGTAAAGAAATTACAGTAGTGCTAGAAATAGTAG